GAACATGAGCAGATTGTTTTTTCAACTCTATTCACACTGACATTTCATCTGATTACTTGCAAAATGAGTGCAGACAGTCTGTCCAAAAAGGTCATATTTGAAAAACAAATTATACTTGGGTGCAGTGTGAACAAAAGTGCAAAACATAACAGATTATGAGTGCTGATTAAGCATCAGTTCTGCTTTTTCTGAGCCAGTGAAAGAGCTTATGAAGAAATAATATGCTCTCCAAGTTCAGGAAGTGAAGCTATGCAGCTACAAAGAGGATCAAGTTTTTAACATTTACTTATATTTATACAGCAGCTGTTAGACTAGTGTATGTCTAACCTACTGTCTTTAAACTTTTTTTTTATTATTTGAAACAAAATTTTCAGTTCAGACAGTGTCTGCAAAATTATATAAATATATATTTTAACTGATAGTTGCTTTATGTACGTGTTTACATTTTGGGTTCATTTTGTCTAGTATTAGTGATCTTATCAGTTCTTTGATGGATAACCAATGTATTATTGTATGAAACATTTAATTTTTTGTGTGTGAAACATTTTAAGGTTTAATTATGTTAATCATATAACAATAATTATATAGTAGAATGTTGTTAGTGTGTTGAAGTTGAAGTGTGTTTCTTTACCACTAGTGCTACCAAACAGACAAAAGTAATGTTTCTAGATAGGTTTCTGAAAAATAAATAAAAATAAAAATAAAAATATTAAAAAGCCATTACTCAAACTAGTCGTGTTACGTGTCTGACTGTTTCAACAAACAGCAATGCTTTTCAACATGCGAAAGACCATATCTTATTGTGCATATTTGACTAGGATAAGACAAAGTACTTTTTTAAAAGTGATGTAATTTTTATTTGCTAATATATTAATTGAAATGGTTTATCAAATATGTTCACTGAAACTAAAGTGTGTAGTTGCATGTTCTAAAAAAGTATCTAGGTAAGTACCTCAGTCCCTCCCACCCTTATTTAAATTATACTTGGTCTGGTTAATACATTGTGTGTGCATTGATAAGTTTATTTGTATTCTTATTGACCCAAGATGAATATTAATTTTATTTATATGTTGCACGATAGCAATACTCTAATTTTCTATGGTACTTTTTGTAGAATTCCATTGCAGAAAAAAACTGTCCTTGTGAGGTTTTTTTTTTTTTTCTCCTGCTGGGATTGTGTCTGATTTTACTCAACATTCATACAGGTCTGATTGAGAAGCCTGTTACAGTGGCATCAACCGAGAACCCCTTAGGAGAAAGAGGTAAGGAAATGGTAGAAGCATTTCCTCATGCCATGACAGACTAGGGTTCCATGGTATACCGGTGCTGGCCAATCCTCAAAATGCCGGCGATGCCACAGTATTTTCCAAACTATAGTACTGTGATGAACAGTTGTATTCTCATATTTGTTATTGTTGTACTCTGTGACAAAAATGGCTGGTGCTCAAAATGACCAACATCGTTTAACTCTATCTTGCACCAAATCAAAAAAATAAATAAATAAAGTATAAAACTGTTCAGAAGTTGCAATCAAAAATATCAATTTTTCATATCTTTTTACCAGTAGTTGGTGCTGTGACTCTGCAAGTATCTAGCTGCAGGCAGTAAATATCAAGGTCCAAGCACCAGTGGCTCATGTAGACGGTATGGATATGGTGACACAATAGCCATGTCTCTTTTCAAATATGATTCTTTAATATCTCTTTAAGTATTATTATTATGAAGTGTTATTCTATGTATTATGTAAAAAGAAACAGATAACATGGTCTATTTGTTTTAATTAGACAGAAATACATTTAGTTGTGTCTGGCAACTAGACAAATACATTTTTCTGTCATTAGGACGGGTTCTCACATCTTTCTCTCAAGGTCCCCAGCAGGGACGTGCACAGACATTTTGAGGGGCAGGGGCTCAAGTGGAAAAAAGGGCACTTCTCATATTTATTTACTTTTTTTTTTTTCTAATCAAAACGTTAAATATATTAGGGGTGTGCGATATTGACAAAAAAATATATCAATATTTTCTGGTTGGTGGAAAAAACGTCAGTCTTCGCGTGATACTGATTAACTATATAAAATGATATACATATATACATTTCTGCCCCCATATCTTGAATTTTGTGATCATTCTAAATGCATTTTAATAAACTGAATCATGCAGTGAAAGAACGCGCACTGGTCTAAACTACTAGACTTCCTATTGCCTTAGCTAAACTTTAGCTAATTTACATGATAGCTCCCATGAGTCATGGATGTTAGCAAGACAATTTAATTATAATTGTCTTTTGGATAATTAGCTGTAAATTCGAGGCACAGGTAGCTTAGTCTTTTGTTCATCACCAATCACCTCCACAGCAAGACAAACACAACTGGAAAGGGAGGGAGGACTACACTTCTGCGCTCTCTGCCTGTCTGTGATGTGCATGGGCCGATCAATGTGTGCTACACTGCTGAAAGGCATCGGAACTCGACAGAGTCTCAATATTTCCCGACCCGACCTGATATTTTGATTTTTTATTAGTCTGACAGGGAAAGCTGTGCGCAAACAGAAACACACACACACACGCGCACATATATACATATATTAATTATTAATTAATAATAAAAAGACACTCCCCAGAAAAAAGGGCACTTTCTCTCAAGGAAGAAAAAGGGCAGGTGCTCAAGCCCCCTTTGATGTCTATGTGTGCACGTGCCTGGTCCCCGGTCCTGGAGAGTTTAGCTCCAACTTTAACCAAATAAACCTGAACAAGCTAGGTCTTCAGGGATTACTAGAAAGTGACAGGCAGGTCGGTTTGATCAATGATGTAGCAAAAATCTACAGGAAAGCGGACCTTGAGGGCCAGAGTTGAGAAAATGTAAGTAATATTTAATTACCTAAAGCCTTCAAGATCACAGATCTTTTTTTATTTTTTTTTTTGCAAATAAGTTGTATTAAACAATATTAAACTAATGAATGATTTGTATGTATTGGTTAATTAAAGTCAATCTATTGAACCATTTGCACAGATTTTAATCTCTGAAACCTTAAAGGATTTCTAATTTTCTGACAGTATTAGTATTATGGCCTTCATTTCTGCTGTTTTCTTTGGTAGAAATGCTAGAATTTATTTATTTATTTATGTATTTATTACAAAAATACAGTATAAGTTGCTGTTAGCCCCCGAAGCATTAGAAATTCCTTAAATTTTGGCATGTTAAATTTTGGCATGGGGTAAGTCGTGGCCTAATGGTTAGAGAGTCGGATTCGTAACCCAAAGGTTGCGAGTTCGAGTCTCAGGTCCGGCAGGAATTGTAGGTGGGGGGAGTGAATGTACAGTGCTCTCTTCCACCTTCAATACCACGACTGAGGTGCCCTTGAGCAAGGCACCGAACCCCAAACTGCTCCCCGGGCGCCGCAGCATAAATGGCTGCCCACTGCTCCGGGTGTGTGTTCACGGTGTGTGTGTGTTCACTACTGTGTGTGTGCACTTTGGATGGGTTAAACACAGAGCACTAATTCCTAGTATGGGTAACCATACTTGGCCACATGTCACTTCACTTTTTAATGTTTCCTCAATGTTGACCATGTGTTCCAAGATAAGTTTGGACATTGCATTCACAAGATATAAGACAATTAGTCATTATGTGCCATCCAAAAATATATTGGCCCATATCTTCACAAATAATAATTCTTCTGTTAACTTTTATAAGTGCCTCAATATGGTAAATGCCTGATTTTGTGTGACTCAAATAAACGGCCTAGGGTGAGTTTGAAAAAGTAGGTTAATGTAAAAAGTAGGTAACTTGAAATGACGGAAAAGGTTTTTTTTTTTGTTTTTGTGGAATATGCATGATCAACTGATTCAAAGGAGAAACTGAATTTGACCTTTATGGCTCCAGAGTTATTGGATGTCTTATTCTTATTTACAGTGACACCTTGTGGCTGATTTGCACCAAATTTAATACACCGCTTAATCTAGAATCCTTCTGCATATGTACCAAATATCATATCAGTCAGCCATTCAGATATGACTTAATAAGCTGCTGAAGTTTGATTGGCTCCTGGTGGACAGGTGTTTTTTTTTTTTTTTTAAATGCAAGTGATATTTAGTTACAATCTCCTCCAAAGACACCACATAGCCATTTTCAGCTTGAATGATCATACAGCTCGTTTGTTACGAGCATTTTTATTGTTGATGTAGCACCCCCTGTTGGCATAGTTTAATGTGACTTGGTGCATGCCCTCAGAATGTCTATCTTTTTTTTTTTTTTTTTTTTTTTTTTTTTTGCATTTTAGCTTTAAAAGATTCATATCGATACAGAGCAGGGTTGCATGTATATAGTCTCAGATACTTGTGTTTCTGAGAAAAACTGCATTATATAAAACTACGTCTGTAAAATCTTTGTGATTTTTGTTTTCAAATTTTGCACAAACATCTCAGGTCTAATAAGTCCACTGCTTTTTGTTCAAATCAACCTTTGTTCAAGTTATATTAGAGCATATGTTACAACGTCCCACAAAGAAGGTGAATACCAATTCTCAACTGCACTGATCATATGGTTAATGCTTTAGTAATGCCTTCCGGTTGTAGCACCCCCTATAGGAGTCATTTTTATGCGTCTATATGTTTCAAGTTTTGTAAAGTTTGGATGTTGCGAGGAGAAGATAAAGGTCAGTTCGTGAAAAAAATAAAACATCTAGACTAATTAATTCCTGTATATATTTACCAAATCAAATATGATGGAAAAGGCAGAAATGAAACTGGAAATGAAGACAGAAATTTCATCTTAATGTGCATGAATATAATGCAGTATTTTGCAAAGTTTGTAACAACTCTTTTAACTTTATTTTGTTAAATGAAATTATGTTCAGTGCTAGTTTGAATTCTGCATTAGTCTTCAAATCTCTAATTTCTGTAGTTGCTGTAGTTGTTCTATAGTATGTTTTAAATGTACAGAAGTGTGAATGATGTTCTTTCTTTCTTTCTTTTAATTTTGTTGTCATTTGTGGCATTTCAGACTTGCATGCAGAAACTCTACCTGGTGAAAACAAAGGTAAGATAAATATTTTACTAAAATACTTATGCATAATTTATGTAATGTGTACTTTTTTAATTATATTTATAAGCTAAAGTACACTATATGTGTCCTGAAAAGAATCCACATCACACTCTCCACATGGGTCTGCATCCGATGCTGAACCTTCATTAGAGTTCAAAACAGAGGAATCAAGACCTGCAAACCAAATTTCACCAGAGTTGCCACCCACAACTCAACCTGTGCCTACATCAGTCTCCACACCTGAATCAATTACTGAGACAACAGAATTCAAAGAAGAACCCTCAGTAGAGTCCAAAGAAGAAAAAGAAGGTATGTTGAGCTTGCTTTTAATACTGTTCTGTTTAAACAAACAGAACAATGTTCTGATAGCACCACACAGCAAGCACACTTTTTGGGGGAAATCAACCTATTTTTTTGTTTCTGCTTATGTTTATTTATTTATTTATTTTTTAATTAGTCTGCTTTGAAATAAATACTTGTTGTGAAAAGCACTATACAAATAAACAAATATTACACACTTCGTCTTTGATTTATTAAGTTCTTTTAAAGGGGTCATATGATGTTGCTAAAAAGAACATTATTTTGTGTATTTGGTGTAATGAAATGTGTTTATGCAGTTTAAGGTAAAAAAACATTATTTTCCACATACTGTACATTATTGTTTCTCCTCTATGCCCCGCCTTTCTGAAACGCGTCGATTTTTACAAAGCTCATCGGTCTGAAAAGCAAGGTGTGCTCTGATTGGCCAGCTATCCAGTGCGTTGTGATTGGCCAAAGACCTCAAGCGTGTGACGGAAATGTTACGCCCCTTACCATACTGTGATGCCATGTCCCGGCGCGACGAGACAAAAACATTAAAACCCATTATAAACGAGGCATTTGTTGCATCCAGTGGGGACATAATTACGGATTATAATGACTTATACTGTCTTTTTATGCGTTGCGTTGCATCGCGCCGCGTAAACATAAAACCATGTCTGCATCTGTGATCGGAGAAATTACAAACAACAAGCGCTATTCTACACTGCTCAAAACTCGCGTTTGAATCATCAGTGGCAAATTCTTTACATATGAAAACGTACTTGCGTTAGTGAGTCAGCATTATTTGTCAGAACAGCCGGCATTGTAGTGTACTCTCCAAGGATCAGGAAACAGTCCTCCATAAAATGTGCTGCACACATCTGAATATTTGAGTTGAACTGTTCTGGAACAGTCTTGTAAATACAATTTAATCACTGATTTCTAGTCGTGTCCCCTTTTGGAAGGCCAAACAAAGTATTTTCGCTTTCGCAACGAAACACACAGCATCTTCACAACATGGCGTCAGCGGTGGCAGCAACAATAAAGTTACGCCTTCTTTCTTTACGTGAACATTTGGGTGGTCTTATGCAAATCTTCCCACATTGTGACGTAGACATGTGGGGGCGTGTTTGAACGAGGTGTTTTAGGAGGGCGTGGACGAGTCTTAACTTTTATAAAGAATATCTCTTTGGGTTTGAGACTTTAGTCTTCGCAACTTTAGGGATCTTATCTATTCACGAACAGCTTGTAACACTCCAAAGAGAAAGGAAAATTTGAAATCGCATCATATGACCCCTTTAAGTTACTGTAAGTCTGATGCTGTGGTGAATTCTTTTGCAGCAAAAAAGAAGAAACCAAAACTTCTTAATAAATTTGACAAAACAATCAAATCTGAGATCAATGCTGCAGAGAAATTACGCAATAAGGTAAAAATCTATACGTTGTTTTTGCATGTTTTTAGTATATTACCGGAGGAATGAAATGTTTTTGTAAAATTTTGCAGACAGTATTTTTTTAAATTATATGTATAAAAAAAAACCATTATTTTTTTTCAGGGAAAATTTGAGGAATCTCTCCGTGCTTTTGAAGCTCTTGTCCAGAAATTCCCACAAAGTCCGAGATGCCGATACGGCAAAGCCCAGGTAACACATAATCATTAAAGTTAACATCATGGTCACTCTTATTATTTGGCTTCAGTAAAAAATCCTTAACAAAATAGTTGTTGTTTTTTCTGAGATGTGTGGTATGTGTCCAGGCAGAAGATGATTTGGCAGAGAAAATTCACAGTAATGAGATGCTCCTGAAGGCAGTGAACACATACAGAGAAGTAGCCGAGCTCCCAGACGTACCACCTGACCTCATCAAAGCCACATTAAAGAGACGTGCAGAGAGACAACAGTTCTTAGGTATACAAGTTAATGTAGCTATAGAATTATGGTGACGTCTCATTGACTGCTGTAAAATAAAAATAAAAATGTAATAATAAAATTAGTAATATTGATGCCCTAGCAAGGACCACTACTTATACTTAAAGGGAACATTTTTCAGAGCCCTTAACCCTAAATATTAAAGGGTACATCGGATGCCCATTTTCCATAAGTTGGTATGATTCTTTAGTCTTCGTGAAATGTCTGTATCACACTTTGGTTAAAACTCCTCAATGACCATGTAAAACAACATCCTTTTTACCTTGTCAAAAACAGCTCTCTTCACATGCATGTCTCTTTAAATGCTAATGAGCTACTGCTCACCCCACCCCTCTCTTCCATTTTTTTGTGTATTCGGTGATGCGTTACCATCAAAAACAAAACTAATCCACTGCGTGTCCTCAGTGGCTCTGATGTCGGGAGAAAATGAAGACACTTTGTTCACTTCTACATCCAACTACAAAACACCTGCATTGCTTACGAGACATTGTTGCCGCTACAGCTGCTTGAGCACAGAGAAAATGGCGGACAGCATACAACTGGCTGAGGGTGGAAATATGCTAATATGGGATAGTCCGTCAGTGGTCGTGGGCGGTCAAAATGGCTTGATAATTGAGACTGTTTAGGTTTTTTGGGGATAAAAAAGGAGTAAATGGATTTTTAGCATTGTAGGGTGGTTGTGTCCACACACTGCTAAGACACATTTATATGCAAACACCATGTAAAAGTGAATTTTGCATCCGATGTCACCTTTAAACTAAATATTAAACTCAACCCCATCAGGGCTTGATGCTTACTTTTTTCCGAAGGACTCTTATTATTTTGAAATGTACCGGTATGTGCTTTTTGTATTGCTGGCTACTCATTTAAAAAGATGAGGGAGATAAAATATGCACTCTTACAATCATCTACAACATATTGCAATGTAAACACCATTGTCATAATTCATCAACAGTCGATCATAACCAATTGCGTGGCATAAATGTGCAATATTCATTGATTGTGAACTGCTCTGAGCGTGAGCCTGTAGAACACGCAACAGCGCCATGTTTAGACTTTACATGTGCAGTGTTCGCATTTATTTCATAAAATCGTAGCCTTTTAAAGTTAATCACAGTAGACTGTATCGCAATTCCTGTTTTTCCATCCCAAAATTGAAGACCTCTTAAAAATATTATTATTACATTTGTTATGCTATTTGTGCATTTTATGACCTTTTTATTAATTAAATTTTCTTAGACTTTTTAAAGACTCATGGGACTTTATTCACACATATGCTCCTAAACAGGGTTGGGAGGGTTACTTTTAAAATGTATTCCGTTACAGTTACAAATGACTTCATTTAAAAAGTATTTAATCCAAGTACCACAATATAAAAGTAATGTAATCTGATTACTTTTGGATTACTTCAAGTTACATATGTAAATAAGTCAAAAAAGCAATATGTAATTGACTTTCAAATTAAAACGAATAAAAACTACAGTAAAAACTATTTGAAACTATAAAAAATTGTGTCTTGTTTCACCATCTAGATATTACAGGCTGTATATTTATATAAAAGACTATGCAGACATCTAGTGGCTATACAATTTAATATTACAGTTTTATTATTATTATTATTATTATTATATTTCTTTAACATGTACAAGTAAAAATAAATATAGTTTATACCATTGTCTGATCCGGGGTGTGGGGACTCTCATGTTAATTTCTACATTTTCAGGCTCATTTTCCGCTTGAAAACTTAGAACTGCAGTCATGCACACCATCATGGAATTTTAAATCACTAACAAACACTAAATTTTAGCTAACATGATGATTTCCACGCTAGTCAGGCTCGTACCTGCAAATGTTCAAGTTGGTTGAGTAGCCTTTGTTAAAGCAAGAATCTTCATGCATAGCTTACGCTGTACAACTATGTTATTTTCTTTATGCTCTTTAAAAAACAAAATAACTGTGAAATTTCCAGACATGAAAACATTTTTCACAGCAGGAAGCATCGTAATTAATTTACTGTAGCAGCATCTCAGTCATCCCGCGTTTGAGGAGAATAATTGTAGATGGGTGTTATTTGCGCATGCACCACCAGGCGGCTCACGTGAGTCAACATGTGTCAACAGAACCAGGAACTATGCAGCGCTAAATATATAGCATTATGTCAAAATACTAATTTATTTAATTTTAAATGAAACAAATGTAATCGTGATAGTATTCCCACTTTTTACAAAATGTAACTGTAATCTGAATACTTAAAAAAAAAAAAAATTACAGTACTGTAAATTATACAATTACTGTAACGGATTACAGTTACTAGATTTTTGTATCCTGATTACGTAACGCCGTTACATGTATTCCTTTACTCCCCAACCCTGCTCCTAAATACAGTTTACATCTAACATCACTGTCAAGCCTTGAGCCCCTTAGACTTATATCTTAGAGACTTGAAGAAGGGCTCTTTTTACTTGGCCAGTACGCAGTCAGAACTTTTTAGCAGCTGCTGACAACCACTCAGAACACCCTGCCTAAAAAGCCCTGGCAACACCAACATCAGCCTATCATCAGGATGTCACTTTTTTGCCAGCACTACACTTAAAGTAAATGTTAACATTTGGTTATTATTGCAATAGACCAACCTTAACCCTAAAATAGAAACTTAGGCAGAACCATTTGTCCATAACAATATGAGAACATTGCCAAAAGATGCTCCTTTTTCCTGTGCAGGTCGTACACGGGGATCTTTAGCCACTTCGGAGAAGCTAGTTCAGATTTTCCCAGAAGACATCAGCCTAAAGAATGACTTGGGAGTGGCACATCTGCTTCTGGGTGACAACAAGGGTGCAAAACGAATATATGAGGAGGTAAGATATTGCTATTATGTTGTTATTATGTTTAGCAATGTGATGTGGATTACTAATTTTCCCCTTTTTGAAATTCCTCTTCAGGTTTTAGCTCGTGCCCCACATGATGGATTTGCTAAAGTGCATTACGGGTTCATACTTAAATCCGAAAACAAGATTGCAGAGAGCATACCGTACCTGAGGGTAATTCTAATTTTATGGACAGAAATGCACAGCATATACCTTCCAATCGCACACACATACAAGTAATTAAATATTTTATCCATATTTGTGTGTGCTTAGGAAGGTTTGGAGTCTGGAGAGCCAGGAACTGATGACGGAAGGTTTTACTTTCATCTTGGGGATGCTTTACAGAGAACAGGAGACAAGAGTGTAAGATGAAAGTAAGAGTATGATTAAAACAGGAATTTACAGAGAAAAAAAAGTTGGTGTTTTTGCATGTGTTTAGGCCTATGACTGGTATGAGGCAGGGCATCGGCAAGGTCACTTTGCCTCTGTATGGCAGAGATCTCTGTATAATGTCCCAGGGCTTCGTGCTCAACCCTGGTGGATGGCTGAAGAGACTAGATATACAGCTTTAGTCAAGGTAAAGTCCATTTGCTTGCCTGCATGCATAAAATCTGTTATAGTGTGTGTGTGTGTGTGTATATATATATATATATATATATATATATGTGTGTGTACACACACAGTGGTGCTTGAAAGTTTGTGAACCCTTTAGAATGTTCTATATTTCTTCATAAATATGACCCAAAATATCATCAGTGTAGCAAATTAGCTCAAAAGGGAAATGTATATAAATAATTACAATTAATTATAATTAATTACAATTATTTACCTCAGCTGCCAGTAGTAACTGTAGCAAAATTAATATTACAGTCAACTAATCTGTTCGTCCAGTGAACATTCAGTATAATTTCGTATAAAATCTAAGAAAGGATATTTTCGTGGCCACAGAAAATAACTTTCTTACAGTAATGCATTAGAGCATGTAGCTATAGATCGGATTGTAAAAGGGACACTTTACAAGCGGTGACAGAACCAGAAACTCATGTAATATGTGCTAAAGTTTTATTAACTAAACACTAACACATAACTAATCTACACAAACAAACATACATCACTCATACATGGGGAGGTTGGAAGTTGAAGACTGAAACTGTTAGAGAAACCAGAGAATGCAGTTATGGAAAATGAGTCAGTTAACCACCTGAGTGAAACCATCAGCTCCGTTTTAGAACGGGGTCTACAGCTTATGCTAAACCTCTGTTTCGTTTAGTTAAATGTATGATACTTGCATTGCCTTGGCCTGGAACGAGCGTACGGATGCAGTCTCGGATGAAAGTCTTGATGGTTTGGAGGTTCGGTGGTGTAGGATCACCTTCTTCCGGGTTTGAAGAGTAATGAACTCCAAAAAGATGTTATTCTGACTCTGTAGTGGTCGGGAGAGTTTTCTCCCAGATGAAGATGATGAAGAGCTAAGAGATATGTCAGCTGAGATCCAAGGATTGTTGGTGAATGTAAAGACAAGGCCGAAGCCTGGCGCAGACTTAAGAGTTGCAGGAGAGTTCTAGCTCACATTCTCATCTTCTGAGAAACTAACAGAACCGCAGACTGAAGGCGGGTCACTGATGTGAGGCATTTATCTTCTATCGAGGTCACACCTCTGGGGGATCAAAGAGCCAATGGTGTCTTGAACTTTTGGAGGGAAAGTTTACGACTCTGTCTCTAGCATGGTGTTTTGCATATGAAACTCAATTGGGTGTTCAAGAGAAGAATCTTCAAGATTCTTATAATAAAATCTGATGTAACCTCCTTTGTAATCCTTAACATTTTCATAAGTAGCTGTAATTCAATTACACATTTTTTCTTAGTAACTGTAACTGATTACAATTACTTTTATTTTACAATTAAATTACGTAATTCCATTACATGTAACTAGTTACTCCCCAACACTGCTGGTTGCCATGGTAACCAGGGGCCTGTGGTCGTTCACAGACATGCTGGCACCCAGTATGTTTATTGGGTGAAGGGTCTGTGATTATTTGTTAATCTAATGAATAATTGGTTTGTTAAATCTAATGAAAAAATGTGTGTCTGATTGGTCCGAATGCTACATCAGATTTCCACACAAGTCCTGAAAGTAGACAAAGAGAATCCAATCAAATGAGACAAAAATATATACTTTGTCATTTATTTAATGAGAAAAATATCCAGTGTTACTTATCTGTGAGTGGCAAAAGTATGTGAATCTTTGCTTTCAGTATCTGGTGTGACCCCCCTTTTGCAGCAGTAACTGCAGCTAAACATTTCTTGTAACTGCTGATCAGTCCTGCACAACAGCTTATAGGAATTTTAGCACATTCCTCCATACAGAACCACTTTGAACTCTGTGATGTTTGTGGGTTTTCTCCTATGAACTGCTTGCTTAGGTCCTTCCGAAATTTAAATTGGATTAAGGTCCGGACATTGACTTGGCCATTCCAAAACATTAACTTTGTTCTTCTTTAACCATTCTTTGGTAGAACGACTTGTGTGCTGGGGGTCATTGTATTGCTGCATGACCCATTTTCTCTTGAGATTCAGTTCTCGGTGTCCTGACATTTTCCTTTAGAATTTGCTAGCAAAATTCAGAATTCATTGTTCCATCAATAATGGCAAGCCATCCTGGACCAGATGCAGCAAAACAGGCCCAAACTATGATACTACCACCACCATGTTTCACAGATGGGATAAGGTGCTTATGCTGGAATGCAGTGTTTTCCTTTCGCCAAATATAACGCTTCTCATTTAAACCAAAAAGTTCTATTTTGGTCTCATCATTCCACAGAACATTTCTCCAATAGCCCTGTGGCTTGTTCACATGATCTTTAGCAAACTTTCAGACAGGTAAGCAATATTCTTTTGGAGTGCAGTGGCTTTCTCCTTACAACTCTGTTAAGTGTTCTCCTGATGATGAACTTATGAACGTTAACATTAGCCAATGTGAGAAAGGCCTTTAGTTGCTTAGAAGTTACCCTGGGGTCCTTTGTAACCTTGCAGACTATTACAAGTCTTGCTTTTGGAGTGATCTTTGTTGGTTGACCACTCATGGGGAGGGTAACAGTGGTCGTGAATTTCCTCCATTTGTACATAATCTGTCTCACTGTGGATTTGTGGAGTCTACTCAGAGATGGTTTTGTAACCTTTTCCAGCCTGATGAGCAACAACAACTCTTTGTTGAGAGAGATCTCCTTTGTTTGTGCCATGATTCACTTCCACAAACATGATCAGACTTTGATAGATCACTGTTCTCTAAATAAAACAGGGCACACACTGACACCTTTAAATAAAGCAGGGCAGGTACTGACACCTGATAGTCATCTCATTGATTCAAAACACCTCTGAACAGATGGAGTCAGGGGCCGTTTACACGACAACGTTTTCAGCCAAAAAAGGGGAAACTTTTTATTAGTTTTGCCTGTTCGTTTACACGACAATGGCGTTTTGTGACTGAAAACGCATATTTTTGAAAACGGGTTTCAAAGTGCAAGTTTTTGAAAACGCCACCGTTATCGTTTCTGTGTAAACACCCAAAACGGGAATCTTTGAAAACGGTTACGTCATGTGTGTGCGTAGTATGTGTTAGGTATGTAGACATGCGCAGTACATGTCGATTTTAAAGGCAAGCGCGAACAATGGCAGAGTACATGGTACAGTTATTGCTGCTCAAGAGTTTGCTAACGCTTCTTCAGCAAAGTGTGGATTTACTTCACGTGTAAACACCCAAAACGTGAATCTTTGAAAACGGTGACGTCATGTGCGTGCGTAGTACATGTTACGTGTCGATTTTAAAGGCAAGCGCGAACAAAGATACACAACAATGGCGGAGTACATGGTACTGTTGTTGCTGCTCAAGAGTTTGCTAACGCTTCTTCAGCAAAGTGTGGATTTACTTCACCAATATTACAACCAACAGCAGAGACGCATCATATACAACATATAATCGTCACTTCCCTACAGGTACTGTTTATTAACAAGGTGACAGTGCCAACTACTGGTGTGGCATACGTAATACAGCGTTTTTGGCCGTTTTCGCAGATATGTGTTAACGCAAATTGTTTTGAAACGTTGTCATGTATATGTGAAACTTTTAAAAAATGCAAGGGAAAAACTTTTCCATTTTTGACTACATCGTTGTCGTGTAAACGTAGCCTAATTCAGTGGTGTTTTCAATTTTTAATTCTAGAGATTCACATACTTTTGCCACTCACAGATAGGTAATACTGGATCATTTTCTAGAATAAATTAAAAAAATATTTATGAAAAGTATGTATTTTTATAAAGATCTGATGATCTTTTTTGGGGTCATATTTATGCAGAAATACATAAAATTCTAAAGGATTCACAGACTTTTAAGCACCACTGTGTGTGTGTGTGTGTGTGTGTGTGTGTGTCATGTTACGTGTCGATTTTAAAGGCAAGCGCGAACAAAGATACACAACAATGGCGGAGTACATGGTACTGTTGTTGCTGCTCAAGAGTTTGCTAACGCTTCTTCAGCAAAGTGTGGATTTACTTCACCAATATTACAACCAACAGCAGAGACGCATCATATACAACATATAATCGTCACTTCCCTACAGGTACTGTTTATTAACAAGGTGACAGTGCCAACTACTGGTGTGGCATACGTAATACAGCGTTTTTGGCCGTTTTCGCAGATATGTGTTAACGCAAATTGTTTTGAAACGTTGTCATGTATATGTGAAACTTTTAAAAAATGCAAGGGAAAAACTTTTCCATTTTTGACTACATCGTTGTCGTGTAAACGTAGCCTAATTCTGCCTTCAAATTAATTTTTAATTCTAGAGATTCACATACTTTTGCCACTCACAGATAGGTAATACTGGATCATTTTCTAGAATAAATTAAAAAAATATTTATGAAAAGTATGTATTTTTATAAAGATCTGATGATCTTTTTTGGGGTCATATTTATGCAGAAATACATAAAATTCTAAAGGATTCACAGACTTTTAAGCACCACTGTGTGTGTGTGTGTGTGTGTGTGTGTGTGTGTGTATATATATATATATATATATATATACACTTGTACAATGTGTGTTTGTGTGTAATATATATATATATATATATATATATATATATACAGTTGTGCTCATAAGTTTACACACCCCTTGAGGAATATGCAAAAATTTTAATAATTTTCACAAAATAAGAGGGATCATGAAAATTGCATGTTATTTTTTTATTTAGTACTGTCTTGAATAAGCTATTTCACATAATGGATGTTCATATATACTCCACAAGACAAAATAACTTTATTTATAAAAATGACCCCATTCAAAAGTTTACATACCCTTAAATCTTAATACTGTGTGTCATTTCCTGGATGATCTACAAAAGGTGAAAACATTTACTGATGCTCAAGAAGGAAACACGATGCATTAAGAGCCGGGGGATGTAAACTTTTTAAGTTGGATGAGCAGGGTAAATTGTCCTTATTTTGTCTTCTGGGAAACATGTATGTATTTATCGAGGGGTGAGAACCAGAAGGGCGTAAGTGACATTTTGGGCGAAATGGAGA